GTCTTATCTTTAACTCTTCTTAATGAATATCATATTGTTCCAGGTGAAATAGTTTGTCAATGTGCTGAGAGAAGTTTGTCTATGGTAAGTTATTTTTCGAGGCTGAGGTTTAGCGTAATTGATATTTTCATACTCTATAGGTAATTGGTATAATGGGAATTGAAATGGCTGGTGGTGTTTATTGTCCATTACCACCTCGAGATCCACGACAACGTTTGCATGCACTGATACAACAAACTCAAAGTCGTCTTGTTCTTGTCCATTGGTTGACAAAATCTAAGTTTAATAATAAAATGGTTTCAATTGATACTCATTTAGCATGGATTAATAATGATAAGATCAGTGATATTAACGTTGATCAACTATCAAATATTACAGTCACACATAATGATATTGCTTATATCATTTTCACTAGTGGTTCAACGGGACTACCCAAAGTGGTATGTTAACATTTGTATTATTTTCTGTATTTTCATTCTTATATATTGGAGTAGCTTAAAGTGCGACACAAAAATTTTACAGGAAATATAAAGTCTTTGGTTGCCAGCAACACATTCAATAGAAATGACACTGTTATTCAGATGGCACGGTGCTCATTTGACAACCATCTTCAAGAAATACTTGGGAGTTTGATGATTGGAACTACTTCAGTTCTCCTTCATCCGAAAGGAACAACTGATTTTGATTATCTTTCTGACATCTTGCACACGAAAGAAATCACATACATGCACAGTGTTCCAAGTCTACTTCAGAGCTTCTTTATTTTTCTCGAACAGTTCGATAACGCAAACGCTATTAAACACCTTCGGTGCCTCTGCAGTGTCGGTATGTAGTTAAGCAATGAAGTTCTGCATATTCTGGAGCTTCTTTATTTGTTTTAAAGGTGAACCAATTCCTGTTAAATTAAGGAATTTAATTGCAAACATTGGTATACCACACTGTACTGTATGGAATATATATGGTTCTACTGAATTAACAGTCGCCTCTACATATCATCTTGTTGATATCAACTCAAAAAATGCAATCATTCCAGTTGGAAAATCACTTCCAAACTATCGATCGTTTGTTTTAAATAAATTCTTCCAAAGCATACCTATTAGTCAAAAAGGAGAGCTATTTATTGGTGGTGTGGGAGTCTTTGCTGGTTATCTTGGTCGTGATGATCTAACTGCAAAAGCTCTGATCGAAATAGATGGTGAAGTATTTTACCGAATAGGTGATCTTGTTACAATGGATAACAATGGTCTTCTTCATTATCAAGGAAGAAAAGATCATCAAATCAAACTTCGTGGACAAAGAATTGAACTTGGTGAAATCGAACGATGTTTACTTAATATTACATCCATCTCTGCTTGCGTTGTTATAAAATGGAATGATGATTATTTAGTTGCCTATGTTCAAACTTATGATAGTGACCAAAATCAATTACAAAAACATTGTCAAACACATTTACCACCACATATGATTCCATCGATATTTATTATACTTGATAAATTACCATTGAATCCAAATGGTAAAATAGATCGAAAACTTCTTCCTGCACCTAATTTTTCATCAATACAGCTTACAAACAATATTGATTTATTAACACCAAGCAATGAAATCGAAGTTAGTCTTCATCGCATTTGGTGTGATATACTAAAACAAAAACAAATATCAGTTGATAAAGACATCTTCAGTATCGGTGGCCATTCACTTGTCATTATGAAACTACTTCATCGATATAAAGTAGAATTTCATTTAGAAACTGGTTCTCTCTCTATTGCTGATCTATTTCAACGTCCAACAATTATTGATCATGCTAAAATTATTCATCAAATCAGCAATATCAAACAGAGTATTCACGATTGTCAATGGCTTTCTTTATATCTTACTCAAGGTAACACGAATCTCCATACTTTCTTCTGAAAATAATATTTTATTTCACCGTTTCAGCTCCAGTATCTTATGCTCAAGAACGTATTTTCTTAGATGAAAAAATTCGATTTTCATCAACAGATAATAATACTAACATATATGTTATTCCATTAATTTATCGTCTTCCATCTGTGCATGATCATATATCAATTTCACGATTACAACATGCATTTCAGAATGTTATCATAAAACATACCATTCTTCGAACAGTACTTTATCTCGATATCAATGGTATTATTCTGCAAGATTGCCAACCTACGAGTATCTCAATCAATGACACCGAAAGATATAGATTCTCAGTAGTAAATATGTCTGAGGAAGATGATGGAGAGAACGACATTATTAAAAAAATATTAAATCAATCTGATTTATTTGATTTATCAAAAGGACATGTTATCAATTGTCATATTCTTCGTCATTGTGGTTATTCTCGAGATAATATTTTATGTAAGAATAATGATCTTTTAACTAAAGATGATCTGATATTATTTACCATTCATCATGCAATGTTTGATGGAGCATCAACATC